TCAATCTCGCTTACCGCATGGCCTCAAGAGATCACCTGGGGAGAAAAGGCTTAGCTGGAGGCCTGACACTGCATAGCATGCACCACCACCATCAGCTAGCCAGGTTACACACAAAACAGTGCGAGGAGGCAACATTTTGAACGAAACAGTATGTGTATTTTGGAACAGAAAGAAGCAATGAGCGTACACGTAAGCAATGAGGTAAATGGATGGCGGAAACCGTCTCTGCCTCATCGCATGGGACAAACAGGGTACACCACATGTGGGTATCAAATACAAGAGAAAGAGAGCGCCGCCCACACTTCAGCATCCCGGCCTCGCCCTGCCTTGCTACAAGAAACCCTGTACATCCATCCAAGCGCCTCAAAACACCGGACCTAAAGACCCCACTCCTCCTCTCGAATTCAGCGCCCGCGAATGCGGGAAGAGGCCAGCGCACCTGACACCCTTACCTACGGGGCCCCAGATGGCTGTGCCTGCTGTTGGCCATTCGACTCGGTCTTTGAGCGGAGGTGGTTGGTAAGCACTGTAATGTTGTCGCGCGCTTCCGGTACGGTTTCGACGATATGCCTCAGGTTGATCATCTGCAGTTCCGAGACTACAGAGTTTTGGGACAAACTAGATCCCAAGATCGTGACAATGACTGGCGCATCGATGTATGGACCGAGAATCTCAAGTGCCTTGGGGATCTGGTGATGCGGCGGGCCGTTGACGGGTGGCGTGGGTTGTTGGACTGGGACCATGTTTGCAGGCGGTGCGGCGAACGGGTTGCCGTACTGGCCGCCTGGTGGGTAGGCAGCACTGACAGGCGAGAACTGAGGTGCGTGAGGATTGTTCAGTGGCGATGGGCCGTTGTTGAGAACAGGCGGAGCCACTTGACCAGTTGCGATCTCTTGCTCTGGGTATCGCTCGAAATGTTGGGTAGGTGGAAGCTGAGGCTTGATCTCGGGAAGCTTGGCAACCATGGCTAGGATCAACATATGTTCCTTGCGAGGGGTCTCGATTGTGCAGTACTCGAGCATGTCGATGAAAGGAGGGAGGTTGCTGCCGCCCTCCTCGATAGGGATGACGTAGAGATCGCGCAGGATGTCGTTATCTTCGACAGGTACCACGCCCCATCTGCCGCGTGAGTGGAAGTACTCATACAGATGGTCCATGATGGTGCGTCCATCCGTTGTAACAGGGCTGACGGCCAGGATGGAAACTTCATGGCTCTCGGTGTGACCAATGTTCTGGATGTAGTCGTTTCCCTTTGCGCTTTCGATGCGACCTTGGATCGCCACAGTGTTGGTCAGCAGCTTCTCCCACGGCACGATCTGACCGAAGTCACCACCAGCGACGAATCTCGCGACCGCATCAAAAGGCTCCATTGACTGCATGTTGATGGAGCCCTGCCAACAAACAGTCGGGTCCGAGGAGTATCCTGACATCTCAACATCATTGTCTTCGTCTTTGAGCAAACGGTCGACGTCGGCGTCATCAACTGCAGCCGGAGGCTTGTCTTGCATGTGCATTGAGCTTTGGCGACGCTGGAGGAAGGCCTGCTGATCGTGCTGTGGCGATCGGACTTTGTCGAAGACGGAGTTGATGTCGAAGTTGGCCGATGCTCGTCGTGCGTGCTCGGACTGGGCAGTGTCAATCTCTGTAGGTCTTCGTGATGCACCAGCGGGACTCTCTGGAGGGCGTGTTCCGGATGGTGACTGCATCGCAGTGTCTTCGGTGATGCTCTCTCGTTCGCGGAGTGTGGGCTGCTTAAAGTCGTCATGGTCGTTCTCGAAGTTGTCTTCGCCGACAATCTCCTCGCCCTTGTGTGTCTTGCGTAGTCGCGGTCCGGCCTCCTCGGTTAGGATCATCTGCTTCTCGGCCGCTTCGCGCATGGCTGCGTATTCACGTTGCTTGTCCTCGCTCGCCATCTCTTCAGCCTCCATACTGACTAGGTCATCAGCTTTCAAGCTTCCAGAGAGGAGGCGATCCACAAGCACCGTGTTCTTCTTGACATTGAACATGATGGTACGAATCTTGGTGAAGTATGGCGAAGACGATCCGGTAGGTTCGCCGTAGAGATTGAAAGCGGCATGGCTCATTTCGAGAGTGTACTTGGTGGCGAGGGATTTAGCAGTTTGCCCATCCGGTATGCGGAAACCCCTGGTCTCCGAGGCGGTGCTGATCAATGGTGCGAGTGTGTCCCGAAGCTTCTCTGCCACAGCCTTTTGGTTTTGCGGGAGCGAGTCGATGTCGCCGACTGGGGCTGACTGGGGGGCAGGCTTGCTCTCGTGGTGGCTGGACTTTCTGCGCTTCTTGCTCGCGTTGGCCTTTTCAGTGGCAGGCTCATGGCGACGCTTCTCACCAAGTGGCGATTGTGGCTGACTCGTCTCCTGCTTACAGGTGTGAGCGTGCGACAGTTTGTTTAGTGTACAACAACATACCTTTGACTCTGCATGTCCGTTGGAGGCCTCTGGTGTAGGCACCGTGACGGGCGCAGGCGTGGGCGTGGGAGCCTCAGCCGGGGCCTGAGCGGTTTGTGAGGGCGTGGCCGACTGTTGAGGTGTGCTGGCCTTCTCGGAGACGGCCTCCTGCTTGACGTCGCTGGGGCGGGGTTTGGGCTTGGAGCCCTTCTTGCGCGCCCACGGTCTCTCTCCACGCGCCATGGCAGCGAGCAGCTCGGTGTGGTCTTCGGGCTTGCATTGCTCGCAGTAGTAGTTCTTGCCCTCCCAGAAGTCGCCCTCGGGGAGGCCCAGGCACTTGTTGTGTTGCCAGGCTTCGCAGCTGTCGCAGCAGATCATCTGGCGTCCGCGGATGTCGCGCTGGTCGCCGCAGACACAGCGGATGATGGCGTCCTCCTCTTCCTCATCTTGCTGGGAGGACTGCGTCGACTGCGCGCGCTGTGACTGTGCCTTTGCTTGTCCCTTCTTGCTTTGCGCCTGTCCCTTCTTCTCCGGAACTGGTGGCGCCTTGGCCTTGGGAGCGGGGGAGGGCTCGTCGAGGGAATCTGCGTTCTTGGTGTGGTGGCCTTTGTTGGCGCGGCCGGAGCGGCGGATCTCGTCTGCAGTGGCAATATCAGCATCAGCGTGAGGGTTGGGGATGGGCGTGCGCGTGGTGGTGCGGGTGCCATGAGGGGCGCGACTCAGTGGCTTGATGCGACGGATGCGCGTAGATGGTGTCTGCTTACCGGCCATGGTGTCGGACACGGGTGATGGGCTCAATATAGACGATACCACGAGTGCAGCTTATGCTATTGCGGAACAAGATTCAAAAAGTCTCTACGGAAGCCCCAATCCTGCCTTACGCGCGTCGCACTGCGGACAGACGGACACCAAGTATGGAGTCGCCTCTAACTAGTAAACGAGCGCGAGCGAGCGCTCCTGCCCAACTGCACAGACAGAAGGCGCGATGCGTTGTGCGACTGCCGGTTATGAGTCGCAACTGCCTCTTGCGCGTACCTGCCGAATGCGGAGCCGGTGCCGCGCGGTGTGTGGGCGCAAAAGAGATGTCAGCCGCGAGGGATGGAAGCTCAATGCATGCGCTGGGTGGTGAGCGCACTAGAAGACAGCAGTGGGCGGGTGCGGGTTGCCAGTGGGAGTCGCAATGTGTCGTGTGGTGTCGGACTGAGTGGTGTCAGTGAGGAGGTGGAGCTTTGACACAGCGTTTTGCCGACGCCTTGGCTGCCGTAATCCTGGCCACTAGCGAGCTGTGGACCCTTTGCGCGGCTGGCGTCAGAGCTACTGGGAGCAGCGCCAGCCAGTCTCAACAAGAACAAGAACACTGGCAGATTCGCACACTATAGGCACAAATACGACGAGCCGTATTTCCAAAAGAGCAAGAACCACCTGCATCATCATGGCCGACGCACGAGCTCTTTTGCGACAACAGCGCGCAGCACGGCAGCAGGCGCAAAAGCCCCAAAAGCAATCGGCAGCTCCTGCGACCGCACCCGCGTCGAAAAAGCGCAAGGCTACAGACGAGACCGTCGAGGAGAGGAAACGGACGCGAACCGAGGAAGAGGCTGGCGTACCAGCGGGCTTCTTCGATGCTGGAACTGCACAAGATGGAGAGGAAGCCGCGCCGGCAGCAGACCAGAAAAGCGCGCCAACACCAGATACCCAGCCTCCAGAGGCACCCAAGGCGCCTGAGTCCCAACTCGATCCCTCAGCCCAAGCAGAGCTCGATGCCTTCTTGAACGAGATGAACGCCGAGAAGCCCATGCCACCACCACCCACGAGATCCGCCTACTCTGGCGCTGTCATCGAGGCCGCGCCCATGACAGCCGCCCAGATCGCCGCACAAGCACGAGAAGACCAGAGTGCACAACGCGCAAGGAGGGATGAGGAGATGGAGGGCGAAAAAGAGGATGCTGCGCGGGCGCTCGAAGACGAATTCGAGGAGATGGAAGGCCTTGAAGAGAGGGTGAAGCGGCTACGGGAACAGAGGGAAGCATTGCGATCCAAGTCTGGCGCACCAGTCGAGGCAGAGAGCGTTGCGCCCGCGCCTCAAGCCATCGAAGAAGATGGCGAGAGCGAGTCCGACGACGAAGACTGGGACGACTGGAGGTTCCGTCCCGCTTGATTTCTAAACCTGCATTGCATATAACAGGCTTTCTGGTGGTCAGCGCATGTACTATATTGTAGCATTATACCATTGTGATACCCGGGGAGGCGTTTCCAACAGCGATGCGTTCAGTCCAAGCAGGGTTGTCCTTGTCATACAAATACGACATCACATAGAGACGATTACCTATCTTGCTTTTCCAACACTTAGAACGACTTGCAGCCCAAACCAAACCCCTGACATGTGAGATGGCGGTATCGAGTGCCAAGGCGAGCGTCATTGGTGAGAAACCAAACGCTTCAGGCACGAATGAGACAACCTAACCCCACTCACCCACTTCCACCCTCGACTGACACGTGCCCTCGCGAGTTATTACTGCTCTCTCTTAGACACACGCGTTGCAATACGACTCGGCACCCCCAACACGAACTCCGCACACGGCATCCTACCCCACAATGTCGCGACGGCCCAACCCTGCCGCTGATCGGGCGGAACAGAATCGCGCCACGCTCAAGAACCTGGTGAAGCTCGAGGGCAACAAGACATGCTCCGACTGCAAGAGGAACAAACGTAGGTTATACAGGATTTAAAAATGATGCGCCTTCACTGACGACTACTGCAGACCCACGATGGGCCAGTTGGAACCTGGGCGTCTTCATCTGCATTCGGTGCTCGGGAATCCACCGTGGCATGGGAACACACATCAGTAAAGTGAAGTCAGTCGACCTCGATACCTGGACCGACGAGCAACTCCAGAGCGTGCTGAAATGGGGCAATGCGCGAGCCAACAAGTACTGGGAGTCGAAACTGGCGCCTGGCCATGTGCCGTCCGAGGCAAAGATTGAGAACTTCATTCGCACAAAGTACGAGTCGAAGCGATGGGTCATGGAGGGACCTATGCCCGATCCCTCGACTTTGGAGGCGGACGATGACGATATTGTAAGTGGACCAGGACAAGACATCTGCATGGGACAGCAACTAACAGAGTGCAGCCATTGAAGAAGGTTCAGGAGAAGGTCCAAATAGAACGCTCCGCATCGCAACGCCTAGCTCAGAGCTCCAGCCAGCCTCCCCCTCCACCGCGACAAGCACAGCCGCCGCCAACCATCGACCTTTTCGGCGACGACCCCGTTCCTCAGCGACCGAGCACCGGACCCCCGATTGCAGCCAGAGGGCCCCCCAAGGCAGAGACAGCCCCACCGAAACAGAACAAGGCAGGCGATTCATTGTTGGGATTGGACTTCCTCGGCGGGTCGTCTTCTGCGGCACCATCTCGTCCATCTAGCACAGGTCCTGCTGCAGCGGCGCCCTCGAGACCAGATCTGAAGCAGTCCATCTTATCGCTGTATGCTTCCAAGCCTGCTGCACCGCCCCAGCCCCAGCAGCATGCGCGTCAAGACTCGTTCGGCGGACTGGCGTCACCCCAAGGACAGCAATCGCCCCAACAGTCGGCCTTTGGTGGCATGAACGACGCCTTTAGCAGTCTGTCTTTCAACCCTGCTCCGGCAGCTAAACCCTCACCTTTTTCTGGCCTCGACAGCTTCTCCAGCGCAAAGTCACCGCCTTCAACATCTTCCTCCAACATGTTTGGTGGTGGCGGCAACTTCTTTGATTCCAAGCCTGCTCCCCAGACTCAATCGCAAAGCCGCACAATGAGTCCGTCGGGTGGAATGGCTGACTTCAGCGCTTTCTCTTCTCCCGCCCCATCCAAGCCTGCAGCTCCTGCAGCAAGCGGCATGAACGATCTTTTAGACCTGTCTATGCCGTCTGCACCGGCGCCTGCACCAAGGGTCACTTCCCCACCACTCGCATCGCCACAAGCGAGCTCAGCATTCAATCTATCTTCACCAGCATCAGCACCCACTCCCAAAGCTGCCCCTGCCCCTGCGACCGTTAACTACTCAGGATTCTCGAACATGGACGCTTGGGGTAGCAATGACGTCTGGGGTTCTTCTGCTCCGAGCCAGCCCGCAGCTCGATCGACGGCATCGCATGCTCAGCCTACGACGCCCGGCTGGGGCGCACCACAAGTAACCCAAGACGACGACTTTGGTGGCTGGAGCAGTGCAGCACCCACCACAACCACGCAGACGACTACCACAACTCACACCACAACTACTCAAAGTAAGCCTGCAGGAGGATTCGGTGGCGGAAGCGATGATCTCTTCTCCAACGTTTGGGAATAGAAGTGGTGTGTTGGATCGGTGTTTGCATGCTACACGTACTTTAATCCGTATCCTTCAGAGCGTGAAACAAGATGCGGCTCTGGACGGAGTGTAATGTACATAGTATGATGTTTATAGACCGCTGAATCGAAACCACAATAGACATGCCCCTAAAACGCCTGATATGCATATGACCCGTGCCGTGCCCACTGTGACGCATAATTCCTGCCTGCCCATCCCGTAATCTTGCCCAGCATTCCCATGTTGTCGCCTGCGTTCTCAACCTTATGCCTTTCCCTAGACCTTTCCCTCGACCTGATCCCGCAACCGTATCCCGCGACTCTTGTTAGGCATGTTCCTGTATCAACTCCCATCTTCACCCACTCTATCTTTCCTCAAAAGATTAAATGCCAGATCCAATACAACATCACCACCGCCCCTATTATTATCCCCGCCAACTTCAGAATGGCGACTTTGTTCCCCGATGAAGCCATGCGTGTGAGGCGTGTGGCGGAGCCTTTGAGTGATGTGCCGAAGGAGGAGAAAGTGTCGCTCTAGAGAATGAGATGTTAGCCGTGTTCTTGTATGTCGGTGGTTGGAAAGCGTCAAGGAGAGTTGGGGGTAAATGGCGACGTACTGTACTGTCGATGACATGCTGATCGCGCGCATTATCGTAGATATCTATCGTTACGCCCCGCAGCGCAGATACTTTGGAGGCTAGTTCATCGAGGCGGGAGTTGTTTTGTTGTTCGCGCTCGTAGGCTTGCGACATTGTTGTGGGTTATCGGGGGCGCCCGGTCTTCGTTCCAGGTGTCTTTTGGGTTTGAGAAGGCTGTCGTCGAAGTATGTGCGGTCGCGTCAATGCGGGATGTGTAGTGCTTCCTTCTCGGGCTTGCTGGGTGCTGAGAGTGTCTTTGAGGCGGTTCCGGGATCGTCTGGCAACCTTCATACGCGACTTGCCATGGCCCTGGGTGACGTTCGGGCGCCAAGAGACCCTGAGGGAATGGGGCTAGCGTCAATGGGCGGGTTCACGCGTGCCCACGCGGGTCTGGGGAAGCTGCGCTCCGCCCATTTTGCAACTCCCAAACGTCTGGATACTTTCTGCTGTCATGTTCTTTCGTCTTGCCCATTATCATGGCCTTGCAAGCCCACGGGACACGCCGATGACCTCCCACTATCTAGCGCATCAATGCATGTGCCTAAATGCTGCAGCAGCAAAGTACTTCCACACCCCTTGCGCAGTACCTAGCCGTCGCCATCGGAGAACAGCGTACCTAGGTACTGTCATGTAGCACTACATCCAACGACAAAGCACCTGGAGATCAACATTCTGGAAGACGGCTAAAGCCACCTTCCGCCTCTGATTCGCGCGTCCCTGCACGCCGCAGTCTTCAAGCATGAATGATGTACACACGACAACCCGGTGATGGCAGCGTTTCTGCATGACTTTCAACTCGAAACACTGCGGGGTCACTCACTCGCTGCAGTGTTCTGAAAATGTGTGCCATGCATCTACTGCGCCGCAAAACGCTGCATCGCTTGCCAGGGGAACAACAACCATTACAGCAACGCCATTCAGCTACTTGCTGCGGGGTAGGTGTGGTAAGTCGCTCAGCCTATATCTTTTGAAGGGCTTAGATACTTGGGCTCTGTGAATGTGTATGCCCATAAATAGTATACGGATACTATCTGCGCCAGCCTTGCTTATCTCCCCACGAGATCGGTCTCTTCATGGGGGCCATCATGATGGGGCCGAGACATTTCCGCATACTGACACTCCCTCATCGTATCTGCGAGGTCAAGGCCGCAAGGCTGAGGTTGAGAGCGCAGTCTGAGTATATCCACAGTCTCACCACAACGGCGAGATGCATACACTTCTCTTACTCACTCCTTGGCTTTGGATCTGCCTTCTCTCTACTCCCCTCAGTACTCCAATAACATCCTGCTTACCATCCCTACCACTCACAGTCCTCCCATAATCTACCGGGGAATGCATCGTAGCCTGCATGTCTTATTACCGGGAGACACACACAAAGTACAAAGTAGGTCACGATTACCGTCGCAGATGTACCGGAGCCTAGTCGATGTAAGTCCGAAGGATGCTCTTCCTTACAGCATCGCCGGTTTTGGTATGGTGTTGGTGGCGAAGCAGTGTACTGAAGCATTTTCGGTTGCATCCCGCATATTCGGCCCCCGGTTGTGCTACGCCGCAAAGCCTCGTGCCGTTTGATGGTACATACCCGGAAGTACTGTGGTGGGGTGAGGAGGGTGGTGTATAAGTGAGTAGGTTTGGTCTTTTTCGAGATGTAGCAAGTCTCTGGCTTTTGCTATTCTTCTTGGGTCATCTCAGACGCAAAGTTCGCTTGGAATTTGCATCTATCTCTGCGGACACAATGGCGCCACTTCGCAATCTTCTCCTGTCCCTTGCCTTCACTTGGGCTCATGCCGCGGTCACTCCACTCGACTCCTCCGTACAGGTCCGCAATGCCCCAGGCCACTCTGTCGAGGATACATACCATGCCATAAAGCGCGGCCTAGCTCTAGCCAGTCTAGAGAAGCGAGATTCCTTCAAGGCCGAACCCATGAACATAGCGAGAAGCTGGAGTGGTGCTACTTTGCTATCCGTGTGAGTACACATCTATAGTATTCGTTACGTCGGCGGGCGTTAATCATTCGTACAGGGCACTCGAACCAAATCCGCTACAGGAGCACGAGAATGGGACCACGACAGTGGAAGCTGGTATAGAAGTCACCTGCCGGAAATGCTACGTCAAGGGAGTTGCCTCTGCTGAGCTCACTATCGACGCCGAGTTCGACGCTGGCGAGCTCCTCAACAACACCATCAACTCAGTCAGCACAGCTGTGCAAAACTTCACTAACAGATTCGAAGAGCAACTAGGCGATGCAGTAGAACACGTCTTGGACAACCTCACCATCAGCGACGGCATTGACAGGTCAGACTTTCAGTGGCCAACCTTCGATCTTGCATTCGACCTGAATGTTCCGACCATCGACGCAGCCAACCTACACTTACAATTCGATGGTATGGAGCTTTACCTAGAGATTGGAACCGTTCTCAATGCTGGAGCGACATATGAAATCACTCTTTTTGCTACACAAACTCCTGTCGGTATGAAGATAGGGCCGAACCTGATGCTCGGTGCGGTGCTTAGTATTGATCTTATCTTGGCTGTGGAAGGTGCCATCGACATTAGCAGTGGCTTCCATGTCAAGCTAGACGATGGTGTCGCGATAGATCTACCCTTATTTGGAAATGAGGTTGCCGATATGACAGTGTAAGTCTCCTCTACGACCACATATTCAACAAGTGTTCAAATGACTGACCATGTGCAGCAACGGGGGACAATTCGAATTTCTGCCTGTCACCCTCGAAAGCGCAAGCATTACTATGCAAGCAGCCCTCCGTATCGGTGCTCATTGTGGGCTCGAGGTTGTGATGCCAGAGCCACCACCAGGTTTGGGTATGATTGAGAAGTTGAGTCCACAAGTCGAAGCTGGTATCGAAGTCGCCATCTACGCAAACATAGCCGAGTTCAACACCAATGTTACGTACGCTGCAGACGACGAGGACTGCAAGTTGAAAGTCATCCAAGAATATAACTTCGCCGTAGGCGCGATCGCTGGCGCATCAGTCGCTGTCGAATGGCTCAACGAGACCAAGACATGGGGACCGGTGGCTGAAGCATCTACCGCCATCTTCACGACTACGTTGGCAGAGGTATGCGGCATTGCAGGCAAACCAACGTCGGCACTACCCACCATTACACCCGCTCCAGAGAGACGCGAAGATCTCACTGAGACTGTAATAAGTACGGAGATCACCAGAAGCGGTGTTAGCTGCAACATCACAGGGCCTGCCAACTGCCCCAACTCAGCGCAAATCACTACGAGCAAAACGTTCATGTCCTTCATCACAACGTCAGTGGCACCAGGAGTTGAAGCGACATGGCCAGTCGAAGCATCTGATACCGTCAAAGAGACCGTTGCATTCGGCACGCAGGCAAAGACTATGCGGGCCGTATCCGGCAAGCCAACTCCGTACGTCGCTCCGCCCGACGAAGACGGCAAAGATGGAAGCGACCATGTACACGATATCGTCAATGGCTCGACCGGAGGTGTCAGTAACAAGATCATCATTGGTGTTTGCGTTGGCCTAGTTTTGCCTATTCTGATAGCCATCATCGGAGCTGTCATGTAAGTCTGAATTCTAACGAGCGTTGCGATACTGAGATAGATACTAACTTATTGTGTGACAGCTTCTTCCGTAGGCGCAAGCGGTATGCTGCCGTGGGCGGACCTGCGGCACCTATGGTCGCTGAGCCTTACACCGGCCACAACGACTATAAGGACCGGATTGAGGAGTCGAAGTCTCCTAACGGTGGTGTTTCGGAGATGCACCGTTGATTTCCTCTCTCGCAGTGCTGTTCACAATTTCCTTTCGGTGCTGTCCAATGATGCGATGAGTCTTTCCTTTTCTCGTTAAGTTCGGGCACTCGATCGGCGTCTCACTTGTCTCTTTATCTTTTGCACAGTCATCAACCGATTAAAAAATCACGGCTATATACCTTAGACTTCAACTCATTTCATTGCTCCCACGACCCCCCAGCGTGAAGCAGCACGCTGACCCCGCTTGCGGAACCGTGCGGAGATAGCAAGCGGACCGATGACCTCATTCGGCTTAGCTCGCGACGTCACTACCACCGAAGCTCACCACTCGACCTCCGTGATCTTCATCCTCCGCAACTTATCCGGAAGCTTCACCATGGCAAGTGGATCCGTTCTGTGCAAAGACAGTTTAAGCCGACGGCCAAGTATCGCCGAGACAGCCACCCCGCACGCTGCATGGCGGGGAAGTACCTCTGTAGGCTAATGTCCTGCGAAAAACGCTCTACGGGCAGCGGTTTATGTACTGCCCAGACGGGCCGACCATTATGTTTCTTCCGTTTATGACGGAGTGTGTGCATGGGACGGAGGGAAATGACCCGTAGTTTGCTATTTCGTATCGTATGGATCTGCTCGGGTACAAAGTAGCTGTGTATCTACCATTTTCGTCGTTCACGCTTATCACTCATCCTTAGTGACAGCATCGGTGCTATCAACCATCAGATGAGCTAGTTCTGAAGTTGGTATATTCCCCAACTTATCACCACCAACCAGGATGACGGGTTCCTTGCGAGCGCTGTACAACTCGTACAGCATCCTACTCCTCGGCTTCTTATTCTCAATCTGCTTCGACTCCGCAGCCGCTCATGTGGTGTCTAAGCCACGATCTACAACATCAGGCCGTCAACGCACTTCGCTAAACGCAGACTGGCGATTTGAGCGTTTCACCTCGGATCCAGATGGCATGAGTTATGAGGGCTTGAAGCCGTGGATGCTACCTTGCGCGAACGACTTCATCACTGGAGAAAAGTACGAGAGACCATCTGGTGCCGCTCCCGGCGCCAACATCAGCTATGTTCAGTCGAGCTTCGACGATGCCGCATGGGAAGCTGTCTCGCTCCCGCATGACTGGGCTATCTCCGGCACATTCGACGCCCCAGGCGTTGAGGGAGGTCAAGGTCGTTTGCCGATCAATGGAATCGGATGGTACCGCCGCACACTCTCCATGGATGCGGAAGTCCTTCAATCTGGCAAATCCGTCTTTCTGGATGTCGATGGAGCTATGTCGTATGCTGCGGTATGGCTGAACGGTCACCTTGTTGGTGGATGGCCATACGGCTACAACTCTTTCCGTCTGGATCTTACTCCTTACGCGAAGGCTGGAGAGAACACACTCGCTATTCGCCTGGACAACAAGCTCGACTCATCGCGCTGGTACCCGGGCGCTGGTATCTACCGTAATGTTTGGCTTGTCACTGTCAACCCAGTGCATGTTGGACATTGGGGAACCTACGTCACTACTCCTAGCATCTCGGAGGCGGAAGCCACTGTCGAGATGGTCCTTGATCTGGAGAACAAGGGTAACAGCAGTCAACATGTTGAAGTTGTTACCGAAGTCTTCGGGCGCGACGCGGCGACAAAACAAGCTACTGGTGAAGCTGTCGCAAAATTTGCTGCAGCGAACGCGGACGTTTCAGGCCATTCCAAGAAGGCAGTACACGGCTCAGTCACGGTTCCGAACCCCAAGCTTTGGGGACCGCCACCTAGCCAGAAGCCCAACGAGTACGTCGCTATCTCCACCGTGTCAGTCGGTGGAGAGGCTGTGGACAGCTATGAAACGGTATTTGGTATTCGCTCGGTCACGTATGACCCAAACCAAGGTGTTCTCATCAACGGCGAACGTATCTACGTTCAGGGATCTTGCAACCACCATGACCTGGGCGCTCTTGGAGCGGCTTTCAACACCAGGGCTGCAGAACGTCAGATCGAAATCCTACAAGAGATGGGCAATAACGCTCTTCGCACGTCTCACAACCCGCCTGCCCCCGAGTTCCTTGATCTCGCCGATCGGTACGGTCTCATGGTCATGGATGAGATCTTCGATACCTGGAACTTTCCCAAAGTGGAGAACGACTTCCATCGCATCTTCCAAGAATGGCATGAGCCTGACCTCCGATCGTTCATGCGCCGTGATCGCAACCACCCTTCTATCATCTCATGGAGTGTTGGCAACGAGCTTCCTGAACAAAGGAACTCTACCGGTACTGAGACTTGCAGAACGCTCCAAGACATAGCTCACGAAGAAGACCCTACCCGCCAAGTGACTATCGGTATGAACAACGCTAACGCCACTACTGGGATAGCAGCCGTCATCGACATCATCGGTTTGAACTACCAAGGTGAAGGCAAAGGAGACTCCTGGGTGAGCACCTTCCCCAGTTTCAAACAAGAATTCCCCGAGAAGATGATCTGGAGCACCGAATCTGCATCAGCACTCAGCACTCGCGGCAAATACCTCTTCCCTATCACCGCAAACAAGAGTGCTATCGTAGGCGGCGGACCAGGGGAAGGCGGTGACCCAGAGAACAACATTGTGTCTTCATACGATCTCTACGCACCTGAATGGGCCGCTTCACCAGATAAAGTGTTCGAACAGCAAGACAGGCACCCATATGTCGCCGGTGAATTTGTCTGGACTGGATTTGACTACATCGGTGAACCCACCCCATACGACAACTCAAGCCGCAGTTCCTACTTCGGTATCATCGACCTGGCTGGGTTCAAGAAAGATCGCTTCTACCTCTATCAAGCACGCTGGAGACCAGATCTACCCATGGCCCACATCCTCCCCCATTGGACGTGGCCCGAAGATCGCATCGGCGAGATCACACCCGTACATGTCCACACTTCTGGTGATGAGGCAGAACTCTTCGTCAACGGTGTCTCCGCAGGCCGTCAGTCAAGAGGAAAGTACGACTACAGACTCCGCTGGGATGGTGTGAAGTATCGCCCTGGCAACATCAGCGTCGTCGCCTACAAGGAGGGTAAGGAATGGGCTACCGCATCTCAGTTCACAGCTGGTTCCGCTGCGTCGCTGAACGTGACTGCTGATCGCACGACAATTGCTGGTGACGGCTACGACCTCTCATTCATCACTGTTTCTGTGCATGATGAGAATGGCATCTTAGTTCCGATGGCGGATGATGAAATTAGCTTTGAGGTCTCGTCTGGCCCGGGCGTTATCGTTGCGACGGATAATGGTGATCCGACAGACATGAGCCCGTTCCCGGAGACGAAGAGGAAGGCGTTTGGCGGAATGGTCCTGGCTATTGTAAGGAGCGAGGCGGGTGCTAGTGGGGAGATTGTGGTTGAGGCGAAGGCGGAAGGTTTGAGTGGTGGGAAGGTTGTTCTTACTGCTAACTAGCTATAATATGTGGTGAATGAGAGCAGTTAATCCAAATGAATCCATATAATAATCATCAGTATCATCAGTGTATCTTAAGCTTGAGTGCGGGAAAGTCGACTATCGCTTGCCCTGACAAGTCTAAGCTGGCTTAAATGTGTTCATGAAGCGACCTCTTTGAACCAATAGTGAGTGTTAATCATCTTTCAGCGCATCGGGCGTTGCGATCTGATACTCTAGCGCGTCTGCATCGTAGACGCGACTTTGAGAACGCAGTGCATGTCGACTCTGTCGTCGCAGAACGAGATGCAGATAATGGCGTGTACTTCCAACACTAATTTCATCCCATCTCTGTCGAGATAGAGAGAAATTTCTCGTTGCCATAGCAAAGTCGCGGGTCGGCGCCCGCAACCCGCACATATAATATTTTCATCCCACCCGACTTCTGCCTCCTCACCACATCCACACATTCGAGTAAGCCCCCTACCTTTTGCACCTTCTCTCATATCCAGACACTCACATCGTCACAGACTAGTCACAATGCAAATTGCTACTACCAAGAAAGTCGTGAATGCGCTCTCTCCTGCCCGCCGCGTCCCCGACATGCGCCGCGCCGCAGTTAACACTAATGTCACTGCCAACCTGGTCAGGCCGCTGTACCAGCGGCTCCATCGACCAACTTCTTCAAGGACAAGGCTAGCTGCTACTCCGGTGGCGGCGAAGCAAATTAAGCCAGCACCTCGTGTGTTGGCGTCAAGGACAACTACTACCGCTTCGGCGCCAAGGGTACCCAAGATACTTGCTAGAGCTCGAGCTGACTATAAGCAGAATGCGGATAGCAAGATTGGTAAGACGCGTATCCCGAGGCCTACGATTACGGCGGTGAAAGAGGCTAGTGTACGGAGGCAGTCGAGGCTTTGGGCGAGGATGACGAGTGTGGTTATTCGGCGTAAGATTACGGTACTCGCTGCCGAGACCACTACAGAGGCGGAGGATGACGAGGAAGAGTTATTTGAGGAGGTCGAGAAGCCTACGATGGAGTTTGAAGAGCCGGCGTCGGAGATTGATGAGCCCGCGGACGACGACATGGACAACACTTCGCTCATGTTCAACGACAACAGCTTCGACGACTCCGTCAGCCCCGAGCAGCAGACTTCTGCCATGAACCTCTTCGGACGGAAGATGGTCAGTATGAAGCGGCTCGGTATGGGGCTGCGCACTAACCGGGACTGGTTCGTTGGACTGTCTCGCTGCCCTGACTACACCGGTGATTCGGTTGGTCTAGAGCGCGCGCGATCAAGGACTACGGTGACGACTGAGTCTCATCTGACACAGGACGCCAGTGAAGGAGGTAAGTTCATTGAGCTCAAACTGTTTTCGCAACTGACGGCTTTCAGTTTTAGCTTTTGTCGAAAGGCCACATTCGGCGAAGGCTCCAGCTTCACGGCTGCCTGTTGTCAAGCCAAAATCTGTTGTTGTCTCCCAGAAGACTACGAAACGACAGATGACTACTTCGAAGACAACGTCAACATCATCATCGAATCGCGACGCCACGGCGTCAAAGCCACGCAAGCCGGTCGCTCCGGTGGCAGCTCTACGCAAGACTCCGAACAAGCCAACCACTGTTGCCAAGTCGCTCCCGAAGCGGAACTTGGCTCCAGTTTCGTTGTCGAAGCGCAGAGTCAGCCGTGCGAACACGAAGAGGTCCGCAAGGAAGCCAGATGCACAGGCATCACGCAAGGCCAAGACTGTACTGAAGTCGGCCATGCGCAAGCCCAACTCCCAGGCCGTCAAGAAGCACGTTTGCTACGTTGAGGGACCCATCGCTCCACGCTTCTACGACGTAGAAGAGACCGTCAAGCAGTCCGCTACTGCAGTTGATGGGTCCACAGCGTCCTTCTCCTGGGAGCCACTGATGGGCCTTCTCCACTCTCAGCCACCCTCGCCAGGCAGAGGTGCAAGTCAACTCTTTGAAGGCTCCGACAGTGGCGCTCTGACCATCAAGCGACGTTTCCTCAACCGCTACGCCAGCGTCCAGCGGTACGAGGCGCGCCGCCGCCAAGAAGCGTTGGTTCGCAGCGAGCGACCAGCGCTGGGTCAGCTTGACTACGGCAACGCAGACTTCAGGATCGCCTTGCAGGCGTCCAATGTCATCACCGCGGATGACATTGGCATGATGCAGGATCTGAGCAACATCGGCAAGGCTGGCAAGTTGTGGTGCGGTAATCGGGCGATGGAAACACCGGTGCTGGTTTTCGGGTCGTTCAAGGAGCCGTTCGAAGATGCGGCTATCCCGGCGAAGGGTGTCAAGGCGTACAAGAGGCCTTTGCGATGGCCGACCACGGGGGTTGAGTCACGGTTAGAGAAGTTTGCGGACGAGCACCTGAAATGTCTTCAGGGTGCCGATTTGGTGATCTGAGAGACGGGATTGTTGGAGGTAAGAGACTTCTAAAGCGTTTCTACATTCTTCGCTAACCACGACTATCAAGGCTTTGGTTACGGACGAGAAAGGAGCGCTATTCAAGAGACGGAATGAGATGATGGGAAGATTGATGGAGGTCCGGTAAGATAAGTGGGTTTACGCTGACGATCGCTAGCACATGATAAAGCCGGGGCGTCCTTTTCGACAGGGCGGGGCGAGTGGTGGGACCCCGCATTTATCGCGAACGCTTTCACGACTTGGAAACCGATGCAGTGGGACGCGAGCGTCTTGGAGGAGGTGTGACAAGCTCGCACAGGTGTGATAACGGTTTTGTTGGCTTTGATGTTGGAGGATTGCGTTTGGGCGATTTTCACATTTTGTATACCGCTCTTGTTTGCTTACTAGTCATTCGTCTTTCCGTCGTAGCGCAATGTACTATACATGTTCTTCTTCATCTACGTACGAACCTGTTCTGAAGTCCGGGGCTTCCAGGATCCAGGTCTTGGGGATTTCGGAGTTGGTATGCCACATCTGGCCCGTTACCGGTATCATCATCACCGTCATCGGTCCGCCCGTTTTCCCGTTAGTATGAACTCGACTATGGATAGCTCGGCTCCCAGGGAATTGTAGTCGCTTCTCTAAGCGCCCATTCAGTTGGTTATTCTACTTCCCAAGCCCACGTGTTGACGGCAATGTCATCGAATTCATGCAGGAGGCAACGCCGAGTTCCAGGCCTTCGCGCAACGTTCCTGCGTCCTGTAAGCCCACGTCGCACGTGTGTTGCTCATTGGTGAATTGTTATCAGGCACAGCAAGGCGCCAAACCTCAAGAGGCAGTTGCCGAGAATTAAGCACGGCCACCGCCAAGGTTGCCAAGGCTGAAATGCCGTGACTGCAGCTACTGAGGCGGCGGCGTCCGCTTTGTTTGCGTGGTACAAATAGTGACAGGCTGCCCGAAAGGAGGCTTACTGTCGTGCTCGCGCCTCTTCTCACCAACTCCACCAAGCCCAGTCGGAGTGAAGATGAAGTTCGCCACTGGATCTAGCGCGTCACTTATCGCCGTCTCGGCGCTGACGGCGATCGCTCAAGCAGAAGACGCGCTGTACAGCAAGCGTATGGTGAAGCGAGGCATTGATGCGGACGGAAACTACAACATCTGTAAGTCAGCATGTGTTGACTGCAACATTGCTTCTACTCACGTGATTCAGCATTCTTCCACATCAACGACGTGCATGCCCACCTTGATGAGTTCAGCTCCTCAGGAACCGACTGCACCAGGCCCGAGCGCGGCTGCTATGGTGGTTACGCGCGTGTGAAGACCGTCATCGAGGAGCAACGCCCCAACTACGAGGACAGTCTTTTCTTGAACGCCGGTGATGAGTTCCAGGGCACTCTGTTCTACGGCTACTACGGCGGCGAGAAGATTGCGGAGACTCTGAACCAGCTCGGATTTGATGCCATGACACTCGGCAACCACGAGTTTGATGGCGGTGATGCCGCGCTCGGAGAATTCCTGGTCAACCTCACATTCCCCATCGTCAGCGCGAACGTGCATTCCGAAGACGAGAACGTCAACAAGACTGTCAAGCCATATACCATCTTTGAGGAGCACGGCTTGGCGCTGATCGGTGTCACTGCGGAGGAGACTGGCAGTCTCAGCAACGCCGATGTTACCACCGTCTTCTCCAACACCGTTGAGGCCGTTCAAGGTGCGATCGATGAGATCAAGGCCACTACCAACATCACCAGGATTGCTGCTCTCACTCACATTGGCTACGACAAGGACCAGGAGCTGGCCAAGGCTACCACTGGTCTCCAGCTCATCATGGGCGGCCATAGCCACACCCTGCTCGGTGACATGGAAGATGCTGAAGGCAAATATCCAACAATTGTCGAGAACCAAGATGGCGATGAGGTCTTCATTGTTACTGCCTACCGCTGGGGCGAGTACCTCGGCTACATCGATGTTACATACGACCCTCAGGGCAAGATCCTCGCTTATCATGGCGCTCCGATTCACCTCACCAACATGACCGAGCAGGATGAGGACCTCCAAGAGCAGATTGAGGAATGGCGCATTCCGTTCGAGGAGTTCGCCGCCGAGGTGCTTGGTACCAGCGAAGTAGAGCTCGACCAGACTACTTGCCAACAAAAAGAGTGCCTGCTCGGTGACTTCATGGCTGATGCTATGCTCGCCTACCGTAAGAACAACACCGACGACGTCGACTTTGCGCTCATCAACGCCGGTGGTATCCGTGCCACCATTGATCAGGGTGACATTACCCGCGGCGAAGTACTGACCTCGTTCCCCTTCGGCAACGCCATTGTTCAAGTCGAGATTGACGGCAAGACTCTCTGGGAGTCGTTGGAAGGTATCGTCACTGGTGTCAATGTCGGCAATGGCAGGGAAGTCACCTCCTTCTTCCAGGTCAGCACTGGCATCAAGGTCGAATACAACCCCGAGAACGCGAACAACTCCAAGCTTGTCTCTGTCACCATTGGCGACGAGCCTCTCAACAATGACACTACCTACCAGATGGTCACTCTTGACTTCATCGCTGGTGGCGGTGACAACTTCTTCGAGCCATCAACCGACTTCATCACCCTGGACACTCAGGATGAGGTACTCACTTCGTACATCTTGAGCCAGACACCAGTAAACATCGAGCTCGATGGACGTATCGAGGAGGTCGACGGTCAGAGGGAGGACACTCCCGGAGCTGGTAACGGTACCAGCAACGGCACTTCACCCACGACTGGTGCACCGCCTCAGCAGACTGAAAACGCAGCGGCGCGTCTTGGTCAAGGCGCCGTTGGTGTTAGCATCTTCGGTGTCCTTGCCGGTCTGTTCATGCTGTGAGCTTGAAGCGATCCAGAGGCACGGGGCGCACGATGCGATGTGAATGATAATAATAAAACCACTAATGAAATACTTACACTCATCAAGTGCGTCGCGTTTTCACTCGTGTCAAATGGTTCTCATCTTTCGTCAACTATTCGCTACCAGTAATGCAAGACAGCGAGCCACATGCGCCCGTACAGTACAAACCTCCGATGCGAGCGCACCAGAAAGTATAGTCTCGCTCCAGGCAGATCAACATGGAAGTGAATGACAGGGTCAGTAGGTCGTGTGCAAAGCACCTTCTGGCTACATAAGCTTTTGGCTGCTTTACCTAATCACATTCGTCAATAGAAACGCCTATCCAACTCAACTCCAAACGTCGCACTATACTCATCAAGGTATGCCTAAACGCGACAAGAAAAGCGAACCCAGAGTTGTCGTGGGGCGTCTGAGGGGAGTGAATGACATAAGAATCGGCACACCCGCACACCCGCCTTCCTTTTTGCCACCCAATACCACTCCAGTCCCGAAAAGCGAACCTAGCATCACTGAATACACATTTGAGCAATATCAAGCTGCCAATCTCAACGATGACGAGAAACACGCCGTCATCGGCAAGCTCCGCGGTGAGCTGCCCATTATTGATCGTGATGAGGTCGACGAGGTCCTTCTCCGGTCGATGGCACAGCAGCTTGAATTGGCGGTATTTCCGACTTGCAAGATGATGCAGGTCGAGCCTGTAGCTGTGAAGCGCATGCTAGATGACCAGTTCCGCAAGGCGTACGGAGCGGAGGTTGAGGCGGAGGTGTTGGGTAAGTTGGGACTGTGCCGTGTTGAAGATGTTGAGATGGCAGTGACTGCGGAGAGAATGCGTATCAGTACTAAGAAGAAAGCTAAGAGGCAGAAGTTGGGGAAGAGTGAGGAGATGTTGGTAGAGGTTGAGGAAGACGTCGTTGCGACGGCACCATCTCTGCCGAACAAAGAGGTGAAGACGGCGCCAAAAATCATTGGGGATGAGATCAAGGTCCATATTGCACGGAGAAAGAGAGCGAAGCGTGGCGTCAGGATGGTGACCCTGCGCTCGGGAGCTGTGTCGCAAAAATGGGAGGAGTTGAGTCGTAGATCGCGAGATGATGTACCTGAGTAGCGGCGCATAGTACGAGCGCACGATGAAACTTCTTTTAGAAAGTGCGAGGTTCTTCCTTTACTGTAATTCTTATTAGTCCCCTGCTATCACCTCTCTTATGTACTGTGTGTGTTGCAGATGGACTGGTATGATGCAATATCGTGGGGCCCGATGTCGAGTTGTAAGAGGTTCTTGGAGAGAGAGAAATCGACAGGTGCCTGGCTGAAGTAGAACCGTTGCATCGTCACGATCTCGTGCATCGTCCATCTCTTGCGACATTGAATACCCGACAATCTTCGCGAATGCGACATGAAAGGATGAGTTTGTTGAATGAGAGGGCTAGCTCGGTAGGCAGTCGGCAATGTGGATTACGTTAGATGACGTCATCATGTGTTTCATCATTCCTGATCCTCCGCCTCTACACTCCACCGTCGCACGCCTACCAGTCAACGTATCCTGCAATACTTTGCCCGTGAATAGACTGCGCATATGCATTCGATGGTACCTCGAGGACCGTGTCGTCACAAATTACGCATTACTGCCCTCTATGTGGCCGATGACGAAGACCAACAACCCGACACTGCTGGAAATCCATCAATCTTCAGTACGAGAAGAGCGCTGGCCACACAGTAAGGAGATCGCACTCGGCATATTCCCGAAGCGCGTAATCTTCAAACGATACGTCTTCTATCCAGCCAAGAGCACCTAAGCATCATTGTCTTCGTATTACTACTGTCCTCTTGTTCGAGGCCTTCAATTATTTTCCGTGTTATCCTTCAGTCCATGTGCCTCAACTTCGATCCAATCAGGCCGCTGGACGTTGGTCATGCCATCATGCCCTACAGCAAACCGCTCGTGAAGCGCGATGCACAGGATGGATAGATAGCATGTCATCTACAGGTATTTGCGGTAGAAAACCGCAACACGGATTGGGCCTGACAAGCTAACACAGTATGGACGGATGACTAGATGACCGTTGGCAGCAAACATGACACTGGACTCTCTCACAGCATAAAAAGCTCGAATATCACTGCCATTCTTGACTGACCACACCAGAGCACACTCTCATCTTTGTACCTTACAAATATGGCTAGTTCATCCGATCCAACTCCCCTCGCCCTGAGGAGACGCCCGAGAAAGACTAATCTAGCTTCAAGTCAACTAGATGGAGTTTCCGACGAACTCGACCAGGAGACTAACATCAAGAGTTGGCTATCGACAGTTGAACCTTCCGTGGAACCGCCCAGCAACACCGCCTTATGTCGCGTAAGCTACTCCTTCAAAAGTCTGCCCAGCATCCACATCATCCCGATCCAAGTGACCAGTCTCGCCGATGCCAACGTCAATACAGACAGCGATCATCGCCCTATCTTTAGCAAAAGGCTGAGGAAACATGCCATCGAAAGCTTCATCAAGAAAGAGCTTGTTGAGCTTGAGAACAATTATTCGCTTAGACTAGCCGAAACTGGATTCAAGAATGCGGCGGAAGAAGGACTGATCGATCACATCCTCGTTTTGGACATCGACATGGAACAGGAAGTCGAGCGGAAGCTTCGAGAGATAAGCGACCGGAAGGAAATTCTCGTCCCCACGGTCGAAAAGCGAGTCAGAAACGAAAAGATTGCTGAGGCTGTGTATTGCGATGTACAGGCTCGCGAGGTGTTTTCCGTCAAGACCGAGGCCACGACCAAAGCCATGACCGACAAGTACTGGAAGATACTCAAGCTGCTCATCCGAGATGTCACCATTCGCTCAATTCCTCCGAAAGGATTCTTGAGTAACTGTAAGCAGATACTGTTTGATAACTGCGCCGAGGACCCCAATTCGCCGCTCAGGTCAGATTTTGCTACAGATGCATCCGTTTCTTCAGATTGGTCGTCATTCTCGTCTTTGAAGTCGCAAGATGCACTCGTCATCAAAGAGGCCAATTTCATGAAGGTTCTATTTCGATCCAACGTTAAGATCGATCCCGTACAGCCGGCTCTACATCTTGAATTCGATCTCGTACCAGGCTTAGGGGATGGCATCCGCCTTTCCGACCTGGTGCTAGGTGTTTTGGGACCTAGCGTTCTTACTGGTCCTGAACACATCAACCTTTCGACTATCCGATCCATGCTGGTTGGTCTTCACGTTACCCGTAACCACGGCCTGCCACTCATTACAACATCGGGTACTGGAAGCACCGCAACAGGTACTGCAACTGGACAAGACCTTTCGAGCGGAAATTTGTCGCGCCCATCACCTCGAAATAGCACTATTGTCCCATCTCAAAGTGCGAACGTCTCACAGTCGTCTATGGATACGAACGAAAGCGGTAACAAGCACCCTTTCGTCATTCAAAACGTTAAGCTAGCAGGCGCCGTTCCGGATTTTCAGATCGAGAACGAGAGATTTAGCGTCCACAAGTACTTTGCTACCAGTAAGTCACTTCGATGCGTCCAATCGTTCACGAAGCGCGATGAACTAATTCCACACCAGGGATCCTCAAGAGAAGCTTGGAGTACCCCTCGCTTCCACTTGCCGAGATTGCTAGAAACACCTGGGTACCCCTCGAAACTCTACTCACAAGCGGCGATCAAATGATCACTCACCGAGCATTGACGAAAGCTCTTATGAAGCGCGCGCGTAAGGCTTACGAATCGGATGACGACCACGAGCGGCGTGCAAAGGAAGTGGCCAACAGTATCGTTGAGCCTCTCGCCGGCTTGCTCAAGTACGACGACATGGAAGTGAGTACAGAAGATAGTTCGAGGAAATTGAGAAGTTCAGCTGACTCTTCATCTAGCAAATTCCAATCGGAGAGTTCGAAGCGCTCACCCCAAAAGGATCGAGGAAAAGCACGAAGACAAAGCCGATTCCTCCAAGGCGTCTCACATCCTCCGTCTCCAGTCAAACCATCAGCCTGAGACTTGGCATTATTTACGTCGAAGCCAAGGGAGTCCGACGGAGTCCCTCGATTGTTGTGAATGACATAGTCAATAATCTTAAAGCGCAGCACAACGATTCAGAACTCATCAAGATCGATCCGGAGTTTAACCTTCCCACCGCCTCCGTTGCGGACACGAAGCCATTACTACTCGTACCAGACTTTGGGGGCTCAGCTGAGCTGCGAGCTCTATACCAGGCAAGGCCAAATACCATCCTCGCGATTATCGATAGTACAGGACGGTCTGTATCAGAGCTTCGCAACATCCGCGCAGACTTACAGAAGTTCGGCAACCGAAAGATCGGCGCTGTTACGTTCTGCATGACAGAGAAGAATCTTGACCAGTCGATGCGGGCCAATGAGGGCAAAGTCAACTATTTTCCACAAAAGGTCCTTCAGACTCTTTCGGTCATGCACGGTCAGCCGCTTTTCACGGCCGACGTTCTGAGTGACACCAGCGGCGTCTCAAATCCATTGATCATCGGAGCACATATATCGCACCCCGGTCCCGAATGTGCCGAGCACTGTCCTTCGGTTGCAGCTGTGGTAGCTTCCATCGACGAGCGGTTGGCAAAATTTCCTGGCTCGGTGCGTTTGCAGCCGACCTATAGCTCAGCTGCATGGCCTGGTAAACATCTGAAGCGCACGATGGAAGACCAAATCCTTGGCCTCGACGTTATGGTAACCGAGAGACTTCAGGCTTGGAAGAAGTACCACCCCGCGGCCGTTCCGTCCGTCATATTCTACCGTGACAGTATCGGTCACCTGGAGAAGACAACTATCGACAAAGAGAAGGACACCATCTCCAGAGCCCTGACTGCCGTGTTTAGTACAAGAGTGAGCTTCAACTACGTAGTGGCCAACAAATGTCGAAACTCTCCTTACGATCCCCGATTGGAACCCAGCATGGCCGACGACGAGAAGGAATTCTTTACTACCAATGAGCTCAAAGCTTCCAATAAAGGCCGCCAGTTCCGGTACTTTGTTCAGCCCGCAACAGAAACTTTGCCTTCACTCGATCTAAGCATGGCAGACTTAGCACGGCTGGTAAGTTCTCGGATATGACTCTACTATCTTCGCTAACAAGTTACAGACGTACAACTTGAACACTACTTTTCAGCTCGACAAGTGCGTCGCAATCGCACTTCCGTTGCACTACGCCCGAAAGCTCGCACTCCACACCTTCAACTACTTCCGGTTTGCCGTTACTAATCAATTTGACCTCGTGCCCAGCATGTTGCGTCGACTGCACAGAGGCGACGAAGAGGTCAAGTCAAACGGTCAAGAGATGGTGAAAGTGATGCGCGAGTATCTCTTCAGCGACGATCCAAGTCGCAACAACGAAGTTAGTCAACCGTTCGGACGCGACAATCCCTGGCTGGAACAGCTCGATGAGAAGATGTTTTACATCTAACCCGTGGGTTTACCAAGTGGCGCCCAGGTCACAGCGCTGTTGGTAAGATCCTTTCCTTTCTTCCATTTCTCCTTCGGGAGCTGGTCTGACTTGATCAGTTGCTCTTTCACACATCCCTTTTTCCTACGTTCGCGCATCCACCACCTCATTCGCTCCCCCACCCCCTCCTGCCCATACTTTCCTTCTTTCCCTTTGTTCGTCTTGTCCTTTGCGATCTCTTACCGCCCCACCCCCCTTTCCATGCCCACACCATGCCCGTTTTCCTTCGTCCGTCTCGACCCTTGTGTTCTGATTTCCGCGCTGCTTCAACTGTTGGCCTCACACGGGTCCTCTAGTTAGTCACTCATTTAGAAAGAATACCAGTCACTCCTTTGAATATTGATAGTCTGCTGTGATTTGCATCCTGATAGCCCCACCAAAGTCGGTCTTAATCTTTGTGAGAGGTTTCGTGCTGTACATCATGGTGTCGTCTTAGAACACTATCATGAACTTAATCAGTAGTAAGACCATGTCCAACGTAAGTAATGTGAGCGGCGTTGTGCTCACAGTACTTCGGGTCTAGGCGACAACGTGAGAGGTTGATGGCACGTAACGTTGGATGGACCTTATGACTTCGCATAACAGCGACAGAAAGTAGCTCATCCAAGTACAATCTCCTTCCACTCCAACGGTCTGCGACACGACTTGAACACGCCTTCTCGTTGGAGATAGCCAGATCCAATCCTCTCGGCGATATCCCCGTTCCACTCAATCATAATGACTCTGTACTTTTCGGATGGAATGTAAGAGCTGCTCCTCCACCGTTCGCAGCTCAGATCTCCCTCTTCGTAGATAAGGATGAACTCGTGACATGACCGAGGTGTCTCCACGTCTTCTGAATCGGGCTTACGGTCGAAATCGCAACTTCCGACTGGATTGCTCTCCGAGTCCAACATTTCGCCTCCCGTGCCCAGTGTATTGTGGCGAACCTCGTAATAAGCCGAAACTGTCCAGAAACGTAGTAATGTCAACTTTGTGCGAATCACGAGCGGTGTCTGATCGAAGGAATGACGATATGACTTGGAGGGAAGGGTGTTGCATGGCAGTCCTGGAAATCTAGCCTCGTGTGCCTCAGTAGCGGAACTGACACCATCAGTAGGCCTTCCGCCGCGAAGCCATCGAGGTTCATGTCCAGTGTTTTGGTTGTCCCAGACGTAATAGACTATCCAGGTTGCATGCTTCAGGTATAGTTGCATAAGTTCCATCTCGGAGGCCTTGTGCACCCATTGTCGATGTTCGCCATTTGGATATCGTTCTGCGTCCCCATACAGGTGTACATAATCAAGTTCTTCGCTGACGTAGGTCAAACCACCACTCCAGCCAGCCCAGGTCCAGCTGGGAAATTCTCGACGTCGCTTTAGCCTAGAGCCCTGCCAAAAAAGGGCGTGGTCGAAGTAATCGACGGGGAGGCCCTGAAAGCATTCTCCAACGCCAATTCTCTTCATCACACCTGACAATGCATCCAATATGTCTTCGTTCTTCGTAATATTGAGTCGAGCATATTTTGACAATGCCCATCGGTAATTAGTATGGGGGAGGTGGCCACGTATACGTCTTTTGAGAGAAAAGGTAAATTCGGCTTTTTCCTTAGATACGCGCAGCCTATCCGACGCATATCGTGGCTCGTATACCTCTGGACCGTCTTCGGTGTAACTAGCCTCGTCGCAGAGAAAGTAGACCTGATCATTGGGCGCGAAGACCAGGAGACGAGGGGCCAGCTGGAACTCTTGGAATCTAATCTGCGTGAGCTGGTCTCCGGTGTCTATTGCTGCAGGCTTACATACGTCCACGCTCGCTTACAATACGTTGTCTTTCTGAAGAAGTGCTCAACGTCGAAATATGCTAGAAGCGTCACCTCCGGGGAGATCTCGCGAGTAACCTGTTTACAGTGGCGTGTGGTGCTCACGCCTCTGAGCGCGTCGTCGGCGCTATTGCATGTACCCGCAACGACGGTAAGTATAGACCCAGAATAAATGTTATCCATGTTGGAGATCGCTGCTTGCCTTATAGCAGCATCGTCGGATACGATACAAACAGCATCTACCCAGAGGTACCTTTCGCCCAACTTCTCGACCAATGTCATGGCATCGCGAATCGTGGCAGGAATGCATGCATCAGATAGACTATCTTCCCGTGAAAGCTCAAGGAGATTGTCTTTTCTGAGTTGCACTTGAGTGGCATTTCCCCACACATAACTGAGAGCTATGTAGCGGCAGGTCTCGGGCGCGGGAACAAGACATTTGTGTAAGACGTCAATGAAGAGAAGACCTTCGTTCGAGATATCGCTCTCCGACGCTAATCGCTCTCGACAATGGGGGTGTTGGGTTTCGCAGCGTGCGATCCAATGTCGAATCAGATCGTAGTCTAGGAGGGAAGGGGCTTGGGGAAGCAGGCGACTGAAGTAGGGGTACTTCGTAGTGTTCTTTGTAGCCGGTAGGATCCCACCAACCAAATCCAGGTCATCAAAATCCAGCGCAATCCGGGGCTGTATTCTTGATCCAGTATCTGTCTCCACCTTCGTGTAAGATCCGCTAATACAGATTTTGAGATCATCGTCAGTAGCGTTGCGAGACGTTCCGCGAAGAACGGTTGCTCCCAATAATTCCGAAGTGAGGTGACAGATATCGCATTCCAGCGGCTTCAGAGAAACGCCGCATTGGTGTCGGTGACATGGCTTCTCACCATCTGCGAGTGGGAAAAAGCTTTCGGGGGTGATCTCGAGTCGAGCGCATCTTTCACAGAACTTCATAGTAACGTATAATGTAGGAAAACGAAGAAGAAAGGGCGGTGATGCCTCTGAACAGCAATGAGGGGCAATTTCGACCCCACCGAATTCCGGGCATGAGGCACAGCAATACACTTACAGCAGCTCTAACTCCATCCATATATGATGGGCAGGGCATGCGTAGCCGCCTTGAGCGGGTATGATAGCTAAGCCAATAACGTCCTGAAGTGATTCAGCTGCTGGAGGGGAAGGCGTCGCAAACATTAACGAAGCCATCCTGGTCGAGGACGACACAAAGGCATCCGGCAGTGGGATATTAGCAGCCGACGTGAAATAACAGATGGTGAACATGTACGAGCTGCGCATTGATGGATGGTGGGATGATTCGTCGCGGATGAGGAAAGCGCGAAGGCCGCAGTGAGGCTGCGGCTGATGCTGCTAAGCCTCGCGCTATGACATCACCGACCCCTTTCACTCGTGCCACGAATCCATCGAGAAAGCGCGCGCAAGGAAATGGTATGCACGCGCATGTCGGGTATCATGCTAGGTAAATGGAAGCCACGAAGAGCATGTACATTTGCAGTCAAAACACTGCGGATCAAATTGCTGCGCTATCCAACGCCACGTGACTTCTAAACTCCATACCCATCATCGACATATCAACAACAAAAGTCTAGCCAAAGCGTTATCAATCTGAAAGCAACCAAACTCCAAATAGTACGTTCTCATCTTGATCGAACCTCGATAACACGCTCCCATTTCGCTCAGCTCAATGTCCCCTGGCGACTCCTCTCTACACCTGCCGGCGCCGTGCCAATTTGGCTCACGAGCTCCGCTTCATCGGCCCGATTCAATCTAGAATCAAGCGCATCATCCAGACCAGTATTCCTCTTGCGCATCGGACTCGTCGCATCTGCCGCACTATCATCAACATCGAGTTCCTTTTCCTTGCGTCTGCTCGCACCCATGCTTGCTACACTTGCATCATCGCCATCGGACTTCTTCTTGGTCTCGCCCTCACTGTTTTGCACTTCGATGGTGACATCGGTGTTGTCTCTGCTGAAGACGCGGAGACCGACGATGCACACAGCGTTCCAGGGGTCGCGCTCGAATTCATCTTCCTCTTCGACGTAGGGGTAGCGCGTGTTGTTGTAGCAAATATAGCGCTGGCGTTCAGAGAACATGCGCGGAATATTGTCTTCATCGTCGGAGAGATCTGAGTCGAGCGAGCAGGGGCCATCGAGATCAGAATCCCAGGAGTCGTCGGACATGTCGTCGGGCGAGTGCATTCCGTGCTGAGCGCGGTGGGAGTACTCGCTAGCACTTCGTCCGCGAGTGACCTGAATACCGGGTCGGATACCCGGGATGGGGGTGAGTGTAGCCCGGCGAACGCCAGTTGATGGACGGTGCTCAGGACGCGGACTGTATGTCCTTTGACCGGGTGTTCCAGGGCGAAACTCATCAGTCAGTGGCGTCGGCATAGGCGTCGGCAATGGCGTAGGGATAGGCGAATCCGTCATCTGGCCTTCGTTGTATCCGTCGCGACCTTGGTATGCGCCAGAAAGGTCGGTGTTGTAGCCACCGCGACCCTGAAGCTCCCCAGGCATGTTTTGATTGTAACCTCCGCGACCCTGGAGTTCTCCTGGCATGTTCTGGTTGTACCCCCCTCTGCCTTGCAACTCACCAGGCATATTCTGGTTGTATCCTCCTCTACCCTGTAGCTCTCCAGGCATATTTTGATTGTAGCCTCCGCGACCTTGGAAGCCTTGACTATGGGTCGCAGAAGAAGGTTGGGGACTGTGGTGGTATCCACCACGTCCTTGAAGGATTGCAGCTTCAGAGATCGCAGAGCCATTGCTGTCGCGGTTGTAGCCGCCACGACCCTGCAATGCTCCGGGAAGCGATGCATTGTAGCCATCACGGCCTTTGTTGTATCCGCTCCGGCCGCCAAAACCGCCACCTGGACTAGCCGAGCGCTCACGGAGTGGGTCAAGGCTCGATGCACGATGGTGCCTGGAGACTGCTTGGTGAACAGGCTTAGCGTCTTCGTCGCCGGAAGTGCGGTTGTCTTCCTCGACATTTATTCCAAGACCAGACAGGCTTTCGAGCTTCCTCTCGACTTCTGCCATGTCGCCAGATCGATTGAGTTTGCGCGTCTCTTTCGCAGTTTTCTTCAGGTCACGCAGCTCAGCCTTTTGGCGTAATCTCTTACGGCGTTGATGAGCTTGCTTCATCT